GTAGACGGGGCATAGTGGTTTGATAGAACATCCAAACGATGTTGTGCAGAATGGGTGATGGCCATGTTTTCTCCTTGTAGGATCTACGATAGCCATAGTCATTTATAGTAACTTAATACCCAATAAATCGTCCTTCATAAGAAATGATCTTTCCCAGAGTCCACCTTTTTGTACAAGGATTTGATCTTCACCATTCTATCAAGGATCGAAGAGGGGCCGGAGCCGAACGGTCGGAGCAGTGGCGGATGCCATCCCTTCTTAGTTCATCCTGCTTTCTGACCATTTGGAGTTCTTCTTAACCACAAGCTGCACTTTGGTCGACAACTCTACGAATCGTACTGGTATGCATACACTTGGGTCCTTTGGCTAGCCCCTCGGGACTCTTTACTGAAGTGCCACATACTCAAATCAATATCTACGATATCATCAAGATTCTAGTCGGACCTTCATGTCCTTCAAGTTCGGTAATTGAGGAACAGGACGAATATCGTAACCCCTGGTGACCACACAGACTGCTAACCGAGCTCTTTGTCCTCAGTTTGGGTCTGATGGACTTATTTCATCATTCCTAGAAAGTCGGGTGTGCACAGGGTATAGACGGCAAAAATGCCCTCGAGTGAGGTACCATGTCCTGCCCCACAGAAAGGGAGGTGACCAGTAGCCAGACCAACCCTTTGATTCGATTACTGGCAATAATTGAGAATAGGCAATCATTTGAAATCTCGAACATAGTGGCAGGTTGGACTTCCCGGGTCAGCACCGAACTACTCGCAACTCGATAAAAGTCAACAAGAAGCATCCCGAATATCGCGTATTCATGTCGTTACTCATCATGTTAATTTCGGTAAACACGTCGAAGATGTTCCTGTCCCCCTCCTTATGAACAGAGAAATTCTAATCGTACGGTTGCATAGCTGCGGTCCCTCGGCGGTGAGAGATTAATATCAACAAGATTTTCCATTCATCGTTGCTTGGACACTCACCTCTGCCCGCCCGTTCACCTCGTGAATAACTTCGACAACACATTGGAGAAGGTAGGTTTGTATGTGCGAGGAACTGATACACAGAGATCTTGGATAGCCAAGCGTACATACGGTGTTATGCACATTTCGGGAAGCAGGCCTTTTGGATGGTCCATCACCGTGAACGAATGTAGCGACTGTCCCAAAAGATTCGAGGGTGGGTATCCCATTAAGCTATACCTGTCTTTCCAATTCAAGATGGGGGCACGGTGTATGAATACATGGAGATTATAGTGCAAATTCATCGAGATAGGAGGTGGTTGTTTGATAGCACATCCTAGTGACGTTGTGTAAAATCAACGATATCCACGTTTGGTCCTTGTAGGAATGCGATGTACGACATAGACCATTCATAGTAATCACATATCCCCTTTCCTCGCGGTATGTTCGTCCGTGGATCGAGAATCGGCTACA